GGTTCACCTTGAAACTCCACTGTTCCTTTTAAGACCTCCTCACTATCCACAGTAACAGTGACTAGAGTAGTTCGGTGTCCAAGGCCCCCCAGTAAGGACATTGGTTCCACTGGGCCACTCGGATGGCGCATTTAGCTGCAAATAATTTGTGGTAAGTGTAAAAGTGAGAACCGCCGTATGATAACGCGAGTTCGGCGACTATCGCGAGATAATCGACGAGCTCACGTCTCCTGTGAGGAAAAACAGTGCAGGTGACTTCTATGTAACGGGTGAAAGCGATCGTGAATTCGGCAAATGATAAAATACGTGATGGGTTGTGAGCGGTGTTTTTTAAAGTGACAGAAAATCCGCCGCAGTCAATTTGCCGATCTGCAGATGAAAGTGAAATTGGTGACAAAAAAAAAAGGATCTACATCCGCACCTGCCAAGATCTGTGTCCTGATGTTGCTGTCCATGGGGGGTGGTTCCAAGGCGAGGGCGTTCGGAGGGGTGGGTAGGGGCGTGGCGGAAGGAAGAGCGAGCGAGGGGAAGTGGAAAGGTAGTAGCCGGAACTGCTTGCGGAGGCATGCTCATGCTTGGGGCAATTCTGGGGACAGAATAGGAAGGGGGAAAGAGAGGGGTAATGACGGGCGTCAGGGCCTGTGCCATTAGCGGAGGCATGCTCACGCTAGGGACAGTTCCGGGAGCGGAAGAAAAAGGAGGAAAAAGGAGAGGGGGAATGGCGGGCGTCAGGGCCTGCGCCATTAGCGGAGGCACGCTCGCGCTGGAGATGGACGGTGGGGCTGCGGGCCATGGGTAGGGAAGGGGGTACGGGGAGGTGTGAGGCGAGGGTTGCGGGCTGAAGCGTAGGAGGACGCTGGAGAAGGTGGCTGACGGCTGGAAGGCGAAGGTGATGGCGTGCCTCGGTGTCTGGAGGTATGAGCGACGGCAGTGCGGGAAGGCCGGCGGCCCCGTGTTGCAGCCGTGGGCTCAATTATGGTATCCTGCGGAGCGCTGGTGCGCTGAATGGCGACTGGAGAAGCCGGAGGACCCGTGGTGTCGAACACGTTGTCGTCTGGAAAAAGTTCGATCACTGACATGTTTGCGGCGATTGGATGTGCCAATGCTGAAAGATTAGAGATAATGGAGGTAAGGCTGCTTTGATTATTTATAGAGGTTCTCTCTTGTGCTGATTGGATAGATGGTGTAATTACTGATGATGAACTAGTCGTGTTAATTATCTGCACGTGCTCCTCCCGAAACTTGTTAATAAAACATCACTTAAATGACCTGAAAATAGAAAACATTCAGGGTCAAGGTTATGATGGGGCTGCAAACATGAGTGGCCACTATAAGAGACTGCAGTCCAGAATCCTAAGGCAAAATCCAAAGGCCTTGCATGTACAATGACAGGAACGTGAGTGACGTGACATGTAGCCAAGTATGGTGTCCCATACTCAGAATTTGTGGTCTGCATTTAACCTGCATTTAACCGTCCAAGTGCACACACAGCAATGAGTAGTGAACACACACCCCCAGAGCAGTGGGCAGCCATTTTTGCTGCGGCACCTGGGGAGCAGTTGGGGGTTCGGTGCTTTGCTCAAGGGTCTCACCTCAGTCATGGTATTGAGGGTGGAAGAGTCATTCACCCCCCCACCTACAATCCCGAGACTCAAACCCACGACCTTTGGGTTACAAGTCTGACTCTCTAAACATTAGGTCATGACTGCCCCCAGTTGTGCCCCCTGGGTAGCCAGTGTTACCAGTATTACTCAGTGTTTGGCCATACACCAAATTCATACTTGCCCACCGCGGTACCGCCCCCACTTTCGTTTAGCTTTTTATTGAAATTAAAAAAAATTAGTTAAGTTTGAAAGCGTCTGCTCTGCTCCATACTGTACTCAAAAAAAGTAAAATAAAAGAATGCTTTTTAAAAAAGAAAAGGTGAACAAGTTGATTTCTTGGCAAAAAACATGCAAGCACTGTCACCGACAGCCAAGTTAGTTTTACTCTTCTTTTTGTTTTCATTTTGAAAAGCTTGTTGTCTTTGCTGTTTACCTGATGTTACGCTATGGAGGCTCTTTTATTTATTTCTTTTATTTATTTGATTCCATGGTGTTTGCTAAACTTTCTGTAATTTATTAGTTGATATATAATACAGTTTGTGGTGTATGCCATGCCTTGACTTGTTCGTTTTTATTCATTTTGTAAATTTATTTGTTAACGTCAATGTACTGTTGTATTGTTGTTGTGCTCTCCATTAAGAATAATAATGAATCCGTCTTTCAAGCATTCGTTTTAGTCTTATAAAATGAAATGTATAAAAATGGAAGCGCAACAGACAGTTATCTTTTCTTGTAAAATGTGATACCAAGATTGCACATTTGAAAGTGAAAGCGTCCAAAGCCCCGCCTCCCCAGTGTTACCCATAATACCGGTTATAAAGCAAGTTTATATACCCGTGTGAAAATCTCCACACCGTCACATCTCTAGTTGCTTGCATACTGTTGAATCTTTGAGAGAGCCGATTGATTATTGTGTCCAGATTAACGTTAAAAATGTTGAATCTGAAATATTGTTCCGTGTAGGACAGGCGTTCATCTTCACACAACTCGTCATAATGACGTTTCATTCTTCTGACTCTCACATTTTCGAAAGTTGTCTGAGATCCCCATTTTTCTGTGAGCGTCTGTGCTGTCATCTTTGCCTGGTCAGAAGTTCCACGATAGTCAGATAAGCTCTGAATGGCCTTGTCCAGCAATGTCACGGCTTTCTGTATGTCAGTGTTTGTAGCTTGAAGCATTGAAGATACAGCATTCACACTCAAAAATTTTAGTCTGCAGAACCACTAGAAAAATGAAAGTGAATTTCCTAATTTTTTTCTTTATTCCTGCTGCTTCACCACGCTCAAACTTCTTGTCACTTGCCAGATATATTTTTGTCAGTACTTTCATTACATCCACATATCTGTACCATATAGCAACAATGGATTCATATCTCCAGGACCATCAGGTGGGACATAGTCGCTTCAGTGTTACACACAAGTGAGCTGAGGGCTCTGTGGAGTCGATGTCAGTGACAATGGCCCACCTTTTAATACTGTGGCCAAAAACACATACAAATGTTCAACGGTGCCATAGAACTGTGTGCCACTTCTGGTATGTTTGTTTTTTATTGCATCATTCATCACTATGTTCAGGTCATGTGTTCAGACGTCGCAAGTGGCTCTTTTTCCCTGATCCTGGCTTGCACTCCTGCATAGACACCACCATAGACTGTAAAAAAGATGTATGACGCACCTTCACTCTCTTCCACTGAAGAAAAGTAAAGCCGCCAATGTCCCAATAGGGCGTGGACATATTGCGTTGATTTGGGACCAGAGTCTGCGCAGTAGTGAACTCGGGACCTGAGTCTGCACAGTAGTGAGCGAAGTGGAGCCACGTCCCGCCCACACTCCCGCAGAGTCGATCACAAGCCCACGCCCTGACCCTTTTTTAATTACCCTGACTGCTCCAACTAACATCATCCTCCAGCGGCTGTCTCTCGCCCGCCGCCGATGAGCGCGAGAGGGAAAGCCCCTCTTTAAACTCATCGGCCAGGTCCACCTGAGATCCCCACGAGCTCATTCTCCTCCGTGCCTCAGCAGTGGCGGGTCCTGAACCGCGGGAAGCAGATGGCTGTCCCTCTTTACTCGAAAATATCTAAACATGAAATATCTAAAACAAATAAATTGTTATTCATCAATTGCACAAAAGCAACATGAACTAATATAAAATATAAACGATTAACAGGTGCAAGCGTATGCAGAGTTTCTGTTTAGGCTATAACACGTGTTTGTAGCATTAAGCAATGCAGTGCTGAAATTTGTGTGCTCACGAATCTCCTCATTATAACACGAATTGTAGACATTATGAAAGATTCATTATGCATATACTTATTGTGTTATAACCGAGATTTGTGAGATTGCGATGAACTGAGATGTCTTTTAGAGATTATAAATGCAGCGCTCTTTGCTGGTATTCTGCCAAACCATGCACAAAGCAGCCGCTTGCTTTAGTTAAAAATAACAGTGTTCTGTGTGTTGATGCTTTAATAACCAATATTTATCGGGAGCGTGTATGCTGGAATTTCATAAATTTCATGGAGAAAAAGTAACGTAACTAGTAATGTAACTAATTACTTTTTGAAATAAAGTAATCAGAACAGTAACGTGATTATTTTGAAAATGTAATCAAATTACTGGTTACTGATTACTCCTTTTAAGAGTAACTTGCCCAACACTGGTGATATCCATCACACATCCATGGCTCGTCTTCCTGGTTTAAAACAAATATTTACAATATTTCAACAGCATACATTAGTTCTTACCCTGCCTAAACTAGCTGATCAAGGTCTTAAAAGGCAATCTAAAAACTTCCAAGATGGGTGTGTTGAGGCAAGTTGGAGCTAAACTCCAGGATCGAGTTTAGACACCCCTGGCCTGGCATAGGTCTAAAAATAAAACAATTACAAATCATTTTGATTCTTGTTTATTAATTGTTTTGTGAATTCCAGAATTATTCTAGAATTGTAAAATAACTTTCTGGTGCATGGTTCTTTTCAGATGGAGATAAGTCATTCATGGAGCAATAGATGTATATTCTTGCCTGATAACATACTTGAAATGCAATACAGACAACAGAGCTGCCACATCATGGTGGAGAAAACACACAAGTGGCATTGTTCATGGTGTGGAGCACAGAAGCCACATCACAGAAGTGCACAATCAGAGGATTGAGCGTCGTTGGAGGGATGCTCTCCTGCATGATTTGCACACTTTCTACAATGAATTCTACAGCCTTGATGACAATGGCACCCTAGATCCTGAAAATAACATTCACAAGCTTTCTCTTCAGCTTGTGTACTTACTTGAAATACAAAGTAGACTGAGCAGGATTTGTGAAGCGTGGAAGCATCACTGTCTAAGGACAGAAAATAACTGAACAACCTCTCAGATCTGGACAGATGGCATGCTGACAAACATGGGAGTAGATAGCACCTCTATCAACCATGTATTTGGTGATGATCCATTCAGAGAGCACAATATAGAGGCACTTCTGGCACAACATGGAATTCATAACTTCCCGGTTGAATTGGGCGACCAGTTCCCTGCTGTTAATGTCCAACAACCCAGTGTTGATCTTAGCCAGGCGCAACAGGAAGAGGATTTGAGAGCCATAGAAGGCATTGCAGACTTGAAATTTAAATATCAAATGTGCTGCAATGAAATTTCCCATCGACTGTCACTGACTGAGTGAAAACAAATTTGAAAACCTACTTGGTTAATTTGTTGTGTTTTAATCTTCTTATTATTGTAAAACCAAAGCTTTAGAACATTTGTTAATTGTATGCGGAGACATTAACTTTAGTCAGGTTTTACAACTTCTATTCTGCTAAACATAAACATTGATAAAAAACATTAACAAAATATTTTTTCATGTTTATATAGTGCCCTTAATATAGTTTTTCTTGCATATTATATAAAAAGTAAACACCCTTTCGAAATACTGCATTTCTTTATTTTAATTATGTACATTTCAGTTATGTGCATTAAATTTGATGCAATACAAAATTTGATGCAAAACTCTTTCAGACCCTTTTTGAAACTCATTTTTCAAAGTCAGTAATAAGAACAGTTTAAAACTCTTTCAGCATAAAACTAATATTTAAGGTTGTTCACAAATTTGTTGAATTGTCACCAACTATAATTTTCTAAACTCTTTGACCATTTTTTTTACTTTGCAGAAGGTAAACTGAGTTCTCAAGCTGTTGATAAGTTTGTTGTGTTTCCCTTTGCACAAGAGCTATGACATGTGCTTGCAGTTGGAAACTTTTTCACTCTCTGTGAAGCATTCCAAGGTGAAGAATTGGTGTAAGAACTCAATGGATGGCTGTGGCTTTAATCCAGTTGCAAACTTAAGAATTTTGTCTAGTGAGCAGCTCTGTAAAAATAATGCATAAATAAATATGAAAAGGCTGAGTAATTAGATCAGGAGTGTCCAATCCTGCTCCTGGAGGGATAGTGTCCTGCAGATTTTGGCTCTAACCAGCTTCAACACAATTTGCTGGAAGTTTCTAGTCAGTCTGAAGGCCTTAATTAGCTGGATCAGGTGTGTTTAGTTAGGGTTGCCCTCTAGGAACAAAGAGCATCTCGCTGCAGCCTGCGGTGGACATCCAGCCCTGCACACATCCATGTGTGACGCCAAATGCCACGCCCACATGTTCAAACCCAGCCCACCCGGATGTGACATCATAGGCCACGCCTATATCCAACTAAGTCACATTCTTATTAACTTTGAAACAGGAATAAACATCAAGAAGACTAGTTGAAGAAGTTGTTTGCATTGTTTGTTAATCACTAAAATGAAGAAGTTGTTGTTTTGTAATCGCCAGAAAGAAGTTGTTTGCCAGTCGCCCAGAAGAATAAGAAGTTGTTTGCCACGTCTGTAAGTAAAGAAATCTTTGGTTCGTAGCCTGGTGTAATTCCAAAAGTATTTATCATACTGTATATTTCTGCTTAATAGAAATGTCTTCAATAAATTCTCAAGGATTCTAATGTGGTAATCTTTTGGTAGGCATGAAGTGAAATTAACGATAGCTATGCTACAACGGTTTGTTTTGAGCCATCGTAAAGTTACCAAGACTTAACCCTCTAAGCGCCAAAGTCGCAAAATTGCGACAAGACATACTTAATAAAATAGGCTGTAGATCCTAATATGGTGTAATATCTCATTTGAATTCCCTACCACTAGATGGCAGACATGTAGTACTTCGATTCTAGACCAAAATTACGTCATGTTCCTATTGTGTAGGAAAGAGCAGAGCAAGTGAGGTTTCGTGTCATTGATGCGGAAGCAGTTCAGTTCAGAGCGTCTGAGTAAATTGTTAGATTTGTGAGAGAAAATCGCCAAATGGCTAATAAAAAGTTGTACCGTGAGGATGTGTTGCAAATGTTATTCGCCGATTCTGACTCTAAAGGAGAATATTTGCCTTTTGGAAATGACAATCTGTCATCTAATGATCGCGCTTCTCCCGGTACATCTTTGCAGCGCAATGGTGCCGCCGTGCAAGGTGTGAGTGTTCACGAAGCACAAACAAGTGATCATTTCGACACTTTGCCCAACGGGATGGGGGTGGCAGGGGTGGACGTGGTCGTAGTGTCCATAGGAGAGCTGTTGCTAGAGGTAGAGGCAGCAGGGGTAGGAGAAATAGGGCTGGAAGTAGCACTAGCTGCCCCAAAGAGGTGGGAGTGGCTGCAGTAGACGTGGCCATGCTGTGCGTGGGAGAGCCGGGAGACGTGGTAGAGGCAGCAGGGGTGATCTGGCTCTAAATAGGGCTGGAAATAGCAATGACAATGGTGGATGGGTTTTTTTGAGAAATGAAGTGTATCAGGACTGGATCAAACGCTTTGATGACCCTGTTGGTTATCTAGGAGAGAAAGATTTGGCCAGTGCTGCACCCTTACAAAGTACAGGTGCAGTCAGTGTGGGGTAGGTCTGTACGCTGTGCCATGCAATGAGAGGTGTACCATACTCTCAAGAACTATAAACTGTGTCACGCAGATAGCTGGTGAACTGATAGCTGATCTAATTAACCAATCACAACACATTTTGTTTTTCGGAAGGCGGACCTTCATCAAAGCCGGAACTAATCGCGTCGTTTGTGCCAGGATGGGGAGAAAGGTATTGTAATAATGTAAATTATGTGAAAAATAATGCGTTTTTCGAACCACCAAGCACGAGAGCATGTTCTAGTACACCCCCAAAACAAAATCAAGACTTTGTAAAAGAGCATAATAGGACCCCTTTAAGCATTGTTTGCTTGGCATTAACAAAGGTCACATGCGATCAAAACATTTGCATGTGATGAATCCATTTTTTATTTTTTGGTAGAGTTTGCAGACTCTCTTTTAGTGTTCTGTTCTACTGTCAATGACACAGTTTTATATTTCCTCACAACCTGGAGAAACAACAGTTGGGATGGATAGTAAATTTTCTTGTACAAAATTCTTTCTTTGGACTAAATTCTTGCATGATAATAATACATAATCTTCAGATCCATTGTCAGGACTTATGCTGGTGCAGTGGGCCCTGGGTTCCTCTTGGTGCATGATAATGCCCGGCCTCATGTGGCTATAGTGTGTAGGCAGTTTTTAGATGAAACTGACTGGCCCTCACATTCCCCAGACCTGAATCCAATTGAGAACCTCCGATACATTATGTATTGGATCATCTGAAGCCGCCAAGTAGCACTACAAACTATCCAGGAGCAGGAGATCCCCAGTTCACCATCAGGCATTTCATCAGGAGTGGCCCCAGACATTGTCGTGAGTGCAAACAGGCATGTGGGGGCCATGAACACTACTGACTTGCATGAAGTTCATCAAAGCAATTCATAATCCAAGTTGTAACTTCAGCCTGTAACTTCAGTTTTTACATAGATTTTTGGTGTGACTTTGCATCCTGTGTTTATGATTTTGGTTTCCATTGACTGCTGTCACATAATTTTGTGATATAGAATGTATATAAATAAAGATTTTCAAATTGAATATTTCATTCATTGAGACCCAAAGTGATTTAAGAGTTCCCTTACATTTTTTTGAGCAGTATATTTTAAATTTTACAAGTTTCAGAATTTTACAAGATCAGAAAATATAGAAAAGGTTTAATTTAAAGTGTGTTCTATGAAAATAAAACAAAAAAATAATAGTGTATCGTGGCCAATAATAGTGGCCACGATAATATTGTAGTGAAAAATCTGATACCGTGACAGCCATAGTTAAATGGCAAATATATCCCTAATTATAGAATAACCCATATTCAAACAAATGTACATTCATTCAAACAGCTGTACAGTTGTAGTGAGTGCACACAAAGGCACATGCATTACTGGTATATAACCAACAGAGGTCTCCATTGGATGACAAATATCAATATGCATCAGTGTTAAAGCAGATTTGCAACTTCAGTCATGTAATCACATGTAAAAGGAGGTAACCAGAGTGCTGAGAGTCACTGTGAGAAAGAGAAGGAGAGAGCACTGAAAATTAGTGAAGAGATTCTAGAGCTGACTATTCAACATTACAAGGCTTTGTGCAGAAATGGCAACTATTACAGGTAATTGTTTTATCTGCAAATAACAAAATGCTAGCATAACAGCTAAATGGAAAGATATTGTACTGCTAAAATAATTTTTCACTTAATTTTTCAGTTCTGGGGTGATATAAGAAAAATTATTTAAACCTACTTAAATACATAAAACAAATAAAATTGTTATAATTATGCTTTTAATATATGTAACAGTGTAGGAAGCGGACATAAATTTATTGAAGGATTATGTAACATTAAGCAGTATATTGAATCAAAATAATAATAATAATAATTTCACTGTCACAAATAGGGTTGGTTGGTTGTTTTGTTATGTTTCTTCAAATTCCCACTTGCGGAAATTTGCCATTTGGGTATTGAATCATAACTTTTGTTACCTGAAACATTTTACCTGTAACCTGACCCTATACATACACAGTAAGTTATATTTGTAGATGCAACCAATTGAATTAATATTATTAAAATTAAAGAGATAGCACCTGCTATGACACAAGTGATGTACTTAAGACAATTGTAGATACATTGATTTCATTCCAATTACAAAATGTACATTTATATAGATATTTCAATTTAAGGCACAACCGTGGGGTTGCAGACTGCATGCTAAAATATACTATTTCATAAAACAAGTCTCTCTTACTTCAGGAAATCTGAGGATTGTGCTGCTGGGTAAAACTGGATCAGGAAAGAGTGCAACAGGAAACACGATCCTCGGCAGAAATGCATTTAAAGAGGACTTCAATCCAGAATCAGTTACTCAAAATTGTGCGATAAAAAACACAAGAATAGGTTCAAGGACTGTCACCATAATTGACACTCCAGGGCTGTTTGACACATTGATGGGTGAAAAGAAGGATAAGAAACCTGACACACAGATGACTGAAGAAAGACTGAAGGCTGAAATAGAGAAGTGTCTGGAGATGTCTGCTCCTGGTCCTCATGTGTTCCTGCTGGTCATCAGACTGGATCAGAGGTACACAGATGAAGAGAAGAACACAGTCAAATGGGTTCAGCACAACTTTGGAGAAGAAGCGTCACGCTACGTCTTCACTCTCTTCACTCATGCTGATTATCTGAAGAAGAAAACACTAAAGGATCATATAGAAGAGAATGAAGATCTGCGACAGTTTGTTATCAGCTGTGCTGGCAAATATCATTCATTAGAAAATGACAACAGAGAGAAGCAGCCTCAGGTCACAGAACTACTGGAAAAGATAGATAAAATGGTGGAGAGAAATCAAGGAAAGTACTACACCCGTTCAATGTACACACATGTCCAGAGAAAATTAACCTGTGAACAAATAACCAATGGCTTGTACAGTAATGTTGGAAAAAATTTTAGCATTAATAATAGCACTAGTAACTATGTTGTTCATAATGTTTAAAAAATAGGTTAAATTATTAGAAGCCTATCACTTTTATTCAAATATGTATTTGTTTTAACTCATTTTATAAATATTGACTTTGCCATATATTTAGTATACACGTCCAGAAAAAATTAACCTGTGAACAAATAACCAATGGCTTGTACAGTAATGGAAAATTATTAGCATTAATAGTAGTATTAGTAGCAGCTATACGGCTCAAATGAGTGAAAATGAGGATGAAATTGAGGTTGAAAATGATTAGAAGCCTGTCACTTTTATTCAGATATGAATTTGTTTTTACTGATGTGCCAATTTGATAAATATTGACCTTGCAATATTCAATCAGGAGTGCTTCAAAAGAAAATGTCTTTTAATAGCATTATTTGTTCACCACACCCCCACTGAAGGCTTTTATCTATGGCTAAAATAACTATATGTAAACCTTATTTATCTTTGCTTTATAACAATTCTACTTCTGTAAACATTTTAAAACATCGATTTACAATAGAAATATAACAAAAGTAATTTATTAATTTGTTAATTTAGCAAAAAAAAAAAACAACATGCAAAATGAAACAGATCTAGTAATGCACAAAGAACTTGTTTATCAGGTCTAAACAAATGAACATTTTGAAAAAGATCTTGAATGTACTGCTTCTGGTGAGAAGACATACAAGAGGTAGAGCTTGTGAGGTGCGATCAAAAGAGTTCACTGCAGCCACTTGTTTTTTTGTGTATTTAAATGAAAAGTTACGTTCTGATATATTATTCTGTTATCCTTCGTGTAAATATATTCTTCAAGGTTTAAAGCGATTTAAGCATTAAATTTGATGCATACTGATAGTGGTGGCCAAGGTTGGTACCGCATTGTAACCGTCCCCGCTATTTTAAAGGGGTCATATGATGCGATTTAAAATTTTTCCTTTCTCTTTGGAGTGTTACAAGCTCTTGGTGCATAAAGAAGATCTGTAAAGTTGCAAAGACTAAAGTCTCAAATCCAAAGAGATATTCTTTATAAAAGTTAAGAGTCAGCCACGCCCCCCTAAAACGGCTCGTTCTAACACGCCCCCACATGTCTACGTCATGATGTGGGAAGATTTGCATAACGCCGCCCAAATGTTCACGCAAAGAAAG